AGGATGCGATGAATGTTGATATACAAGTGTATGTGATGCCAAGCTATGTCAATTAAAGCTACATATTTATATCATATAACTATTTTTTTTTTTTCTTGTTAAATAATCATTTTTCTAATCTATATATAAAAATTGTTTTTTATTTCTGATTTAAATTTTAAAGGTGGCCTAAAATTTCATACATATTTTATTTAATTGCTAGTTTCATTGAATCGTCTATTCGTCGCGTGACACGCGCCCATCCCTAGCGAATGATTGAGGCTCTGGGTCGCATTCAGCCCTAGAGCACAAGGAAACCGACTACCGTTAACGACGCCGACGATGACGACGGCGATGCCTTTGCCTGAGCAGGCAACCGAAAACCAAATGCCGTTTCAGTACACTTTAATATACCCTATATACATACAATACATATACACGCATATACATATACCTTCATCCATATGTACATAAATACATATTTACGAAGGTATATAGCTTGTGTGTTGGAAGAGTGTTTCCAGCTTGAGTTTATATACTCCACGCCCATAGCCGAGGGTTATTCCATGCCCTGCTTCTATCTGCCTGTTGTTGTTGTCGCATTTCCATTTTTATGTACAATTTTTCATTTTGCGTTTTATTTTACATTTTTTCTTTTTCGTTTCCATTTCACTATATTCGCGCGCGCACGCTATCTTACTTGAATGTGTGCGTGCGGGCGTGTGTGTGTGCTATCGCAGTTGCAGTTGAAGCATCTGATGAGACACGTTTCCAATATTAAGCCCTAAGCCATGCCCGCTGCTGTACCCGCTCATGTCACCCTTAAGCCTAACAGCGTGTCCTGCTAACCAAATTTTAGTCTTTGCCGGTTGCCGTTAGCAAAGGGACAATATAAAAACTCCCCACATTGCACTCACTCCACCTTCTCATACTCTGCCTCGCACTCACACACACACATAGCCGAATCGTGTGCGCTTATTGCTTCATTCTTTTTATTCTTGTCGCCACTAATTGTGACTGCACACACACACACACACACACACACTCATAAGCAAATACTTATATACATTGTCTTGCATATAAGAGCGCTTGGTAGCTATAGCATTCATCCATTCATTTAGAAGTACATAAGCAGCAGCAGCAGTTCGCTACTTCGATTATCCGTGCCCTTCTCTCTCTCTCACTCTCTCTCTCTCTCTCTCTCACTCTCGCTCTCTTTGCGCTGTGTGTTTGTGCCCTTGTGTTTTGCTGCCTTTATTCGTCGTTGTCGTCGTTCAACGCACTTCCTTCTACAGTTTATTGTGTCTGTCTCCCTTTCTGTGTGTCTCTGCTAGTGTGTGTGTGTGTGTGTGTGTGTGTGTGTGTGTGTGTGTGTGTGTGTGTGTGTGTGTGTGTGTGTGTGTGTGTGTGTGTGTGTGTGTGTGTGTGTGTGTGTGTGTGTGTGTGTGTGTGTTTTGCTAGCGACAGCCCCACAGGCCAAAATATTTTGTCACTCCTGCGCTGCCTGTGCCTGCAGCGCTGCTGCTGCGCTGCTTTAGTCGCAGTTTCTGCTGAAGAAGAATCTCTCGTTGTTGTTGCTGCTGCTGCTGTTGTTGTCTGTTACCGTTGCTTTGGGCAAGAATTTCGAGCATTTCTCGAAAGTTATTTCGAGGGTTGCCTCTGTCTGGAGCAGCTTTGAATGGATGCCCTTCCGATAGCATCTGAGTTACTTTTTTAATACATTTTAGCTAAATGGATATTTGAGGCTGATAAGCAGAGCCGGGATTCCAGCTTCCAGCATGTGTGAGCTGTATGCTTGTGTGTGAGTGTGTGTGTGTGTGTGTGTGGGTAGAGGGAGCAACGGAAGGGAATCATCTATTTATATCTTATAAAATAAGAAACGAAATTAAATTGCAAGAATTTATATTTACTAGAAAGATTTAAACATATTAAATTCTTTAACTAACTGAGCTAAAGAATTCAGCTTAATTTGTACAAAATGATAGAAACTAAAAATTGTATTAAATGCCGACGGCCACAACTCTATAGCTCTTTATTGGCTAAGCGTTTCAGTTTATATCTGTTGTATCATTTGTTAAACTAATGTTGTTCCTCTTCTTATCTTTCTTCTATATTTATGTATACCCTCATATCTATCTATGCATGTATTTTTCCAAATTTTCATCTATCTTTATCCCTATTAATCGTATATGTCATATATATTTTTCTCTTCTATACGTAAAGAATACGAAAAGAATAAATAATTTAATAATGAATTTACCCTACCAGAGCATCTCTATATTGCATATATCCATTTTTGCTTATATTCTTTCATGAGATATCATAATAATTAACTTCATGACAAATTAAAAAATATATTTTATATATGTATAGTCTCTATTGAAAGACCTGTTAACTAAATAGAACCCCAACTATCTTAAATAAATCATATCAAAATCTTTCGCTCAACGTTTCAGCCACTTCCAAAAGTTGTCAAAGCGACGGCATTTACAACATTTGAAGAAAATTTGGTTTCACTCACAAAAACCTGTTTTTGCAGTCTAACAACACAAACAACTTAAAACTGAGCCCTAAACAAGTTATGAACTTAAGACACAGAGAAATAAGAAACACGTTACTAATTAAAATTTCATAATTACTGTACCCATAGGTTCCAATCCAATCGAGAAATGCCTCGAGTCTGTGCCAACGAGCACGCCCTGCTGAGTCGTGCTGCAGTGACCGACAGCCAATCAAAACGTAGGCACATTCGTGCAGCGCACCAATCGTCGTACGTCACTAAAAAGCGACCAATGCGTTGTGAGCATTGCTGTGTCGTAATCGTAACGTGTGGAGAGCTTCGTACACGAAGAGTCATGAGACATGGCAACTCTACAACAGTCTACAACTGCTGAGCGTGAAAAGCTTAGCAGACAGTAGAGAGCTTAAAAATGTGCTCAATGGAGTGCATGTAAAATGAATACATGTGTGTAAGAAATGTGAATGTGAAATTGAGAGGGAAAGGGAAAATACATGTTATTCATGTGGTAAATGAGAGCAAGGCGTATGTATTTGAGTTAATTGTTATGCAAATCTCATTCCACAACGATATTGAGTGCGCAGTTATGTGAGTAATTTGTACTAATGAGTGTAGACTTTTGGCTAACGCCATTCAAGTTTTGAGTGTATATAAAAGTTTAGCTGTCGAAACTTTCTCTTGCATACTTTTGGGTAGATTTCTTATATATTGACCGGGGTAAAGCTATAAAATGGCTCTTTAAAAGTTCAAAGTTATAGTATCAATAGTTTTCATGTATTTTAAGTGATTTGATATAATAAATTTAATAATTTTTAAATGACTGATGATATACAAATAATTTAATTGATTATCAAAAATATATTTTTATAAAAACCTAATGGATTTTGCAGTTTATTCATTTCTTGGAATTTGGAATCAGTCTAGGAGCGAACGAGCACTTCGTAGTTATCGAGGCGCACCTCCTGTCCACCGAACGGGATGTAGAGGCAGCGATGCGACTGATGGATTTTGCCAGGTGTGAAACTGCCATTGTAGTGGCCACGGCCGATGTACAAGGGCTCGCCATCGCTGGTGCGTCCACAGACAACGGCGCCGCTGGGCACATTGCCAAAGGAGTCGGGCACCCAGCCATAGCCATAGCCGGCGAGCAGCTCAAATTCATATTTCACGTGCTCTTGTCCGCCGTATGGCACATACGCGCAGCCCTTGTTTGGTATCACCTTGGCGGGCAGCAGATCGCCCTCGTGGTAGGCGCGGCCCACATAGATGGCATCGCCGTCGACGTCGTGGCCGGCCACAATGGTGCCGGGCACAATATTGCTGCCGGACGAACTGACCCAGGTCTCGGGCTGGACGAGCACCTCGTAAGACTCCAGCCTGTGCTCGGCGCCGCCATATGGAATGTACAGGCAGCCGTGGGAGGGATGCACCTTGCCGGGCGTCAGGCTGCCCTGGAAGTAGCCGCGACCCACGTACAGTGGCTCGCCGTCCGAGGTCTGGCCGACGCGGAGGGCATGAGGCGGCACCTCACCGTTGCTGGCTGGGATCCAGCAGTAATGATGGCCCGTTAGAATCTCGTAGTCGTGCTTGCAGATCTCCTCGCCGCCCCAGGCCACGTAGGCCTGGTGCTTGTTGGGAATCACCTTGGCGGGCAGCATGTCGCCGTTGTGATAGGCGCGGCCCACATAGATGGGATCCTGGTCGGAGTCGTGGCCAGCGGCGATGGCGAATGGCGGCAGAGCTTCGTAAACATTGCAGGCAATCCAGGTGTGTTCTAGAAAAAGGTAAAGTGCAATTTATTAATATATGACATATGAACGAGAGATAGGAGGGAAATGTCTGCATTCTCAATTTACTTAGTTTAATTAAAATGGAATATTTTTCGATATAACAGTTGCATATAATGTGATATATATTGGATTGAGCGTATATATGTATGCATATACATATATGTAATTTTGTGTATAAGTGCGTCTTCTCTATACATATACAGCTTAATGTGTCAACGTATATATGTAATTTTGCCAAAATATTCTCTCCTCTCTCTCTGTGTGTTCGTATAAGTCTCTGCCAGCACAAAAGCTCTCTATTCTATATACTACTATACTACTTATATTAACTCATATAAGAGTAGGCTGGAACGTTGAGTGAATTCCAGCATCTCTCCAGATCTTTGCATAATATAAGAGTTGTATTTAGAATGGACTTCACTGACCGTATAAGTGTCAGCTTACAGCTCCACTCTTATATAACATATATGGCAATTTATTTGATAAAGTGTTCCTGGAGTTTGTTCAATTGCAAGATAAAAGCCGACTCAAAGCCAATTTCGAGTATATTCTGATTGTAAGTAAAAAATATATACATACATACATACATACATTTATATATGCATATGCTTATCATAAAAGAGTTATATTTAAGAGGCGTATAAGTGTTTATCTGCCGGTAAGGCTGACTATAGTCGTATATTATGTGAACGTGGATATTATTGATTGATTGCGGGTACTGTAAATGTGTAGGTGCTACTTCCTGTATATGAGATAAATAATAATACATATATTTCTTATAATTCTGATATTCTCATCTAGATTTCTATACCCTCTTGAGTCAAACACACTCTTATATGAACCATGCTCTAAAGAATGTTCGATCATAAAAATGAATCTATTTTTTTCCAATTATAACAAGTGCTTCGATATGATTATATTTGTTTGTGTATGTGTGTGTGTGTCGCATGACGTGTATCTAGGCTAAAATCATAACTATGGCACCTTGGTCGTGATAGATAAGACCCACATGAAGTATATGCTGAAAATCGTGATTAATATTCATCGGTCTCCTTTTGAAATTTAAGCTCTTAAGTTCATTTTTAAGTTATGCGGATTTCAACTGTCAATACAGTCACATAGTCATATATCAGTTTTGATGTACGACTACAACTACAATTGAACATATCGAACTGTACTTAAGTAGACAAAAATAGAACGGTTTGTTATCAGTTGGTGGCCATGATGATATGTGAGTATACGTATGTATGTATGTATATAGAGCTGTACTTTCACCTGATAGCCAGTAAAAAATGAAAGAAATTTCGATATTCATATAACAGTCAGTGCTATTATGAATTATTTGTTATACTGCAGATATAGTTTTAGGAAACGAATAAAAATATGACTATTAATTAGTATAATAACTATGCTGAGCAGTTATAGCCGTTTAACGGATATGTATATATAACGGTATGTATAACGGTTACTCGTTTAGTCTCTTACTCATGTTATTATAAGTCACTGTTTTTACTTAAAAACTTTTCAGATTTAACTCAAGATATTGTTGATAGTATATATATATAGAGATATTCGCACTGGTATAATCCATTCAATCTAGTTCATGTGATTGTAATCCTTTGCTCAAGTCCTTACCCATTTTGTTTATTGTATGTGTAGGTTCTAGATCTATCGGTCTCGATTCGATATGTCCGTAACGTTCTCTACGTAGTTACTGCAAAGACTGACTGGATGTGCCAGTTGGCAGTTGTGTTATAAAGTGCGGACTTTCCTTATCAGTCACAAAACAACAAAAAAAGAGGAATAAAACAGTTAACTGCTTTCTGTTGTTCTTCTTTTGCGCTCAGTTAAGCGACTACGATAAGATAAACCAGCCTTGCTTGGGAGACATTTTCCGAGTAAACATTTCCGAGCGACTGTCTGATAAATACATATGCATATATACATACATGCAGAAGGGCTAGGCTATTCGTCATCAAAAGCAACTCGCAAAAGTTGTTCTCGAAATATGTCTTTCTAGACGTGTTTTATACTTGGCGTAATCAATAAATACATGGTTTTTATCTGGTTTACTTAATATTAGGCCGCACTTATCTTTTGAGCGATCGCTTGATTACCTGTTATCATTGATTGAAATAGGTTTTATTTTTACCTTGACTATAAAAAAAAACACCCTCAAATTGTCTTGAACTTGGTAATTAATTCGAATTTCGAACTTATTGCTCACCCATTTTCGATATCCGCTTTTCGCTTTCTCTGCTCTCGCTGGGATCTGTACTTCAAATGCGAACTTTTACATTAAAATTTTTGCTTTTAAGCACTGAGCTCCTTATAAACAGCGCTTTTATCTGAAATAACTGCAATGAATATTACGCTTGCCCGCACTTTTGCAATTTTATGGAACCGAAAGCCACAGCTGTTTCTGTTTGAGTTTCTGCTTCTGTTCTTAGCCCTTTAATAATAGCATCTGGTTTGACTTTGACTTCGCTCTCGACTCATAGCACCTGACTCACCCAGAATTTAATTTCAATTTGAACAGCAGTAACCCCGCTTGCTATGCCTATAAATAGAATCGATGACAATTCAGAAAATTTTTAGAAAAATTTAAAAAATGAAATAAAACAATAAATAGTGATAACACTGTTATTTAATTTATAGACTTTTACAGGCAAAATACTTTGATAATGTGATGGGCCATAAATCGAAATGAGGTTCCAAAGAATTTTGTAGCAAAAGAAGAATGTATTATCTATAGATTAGAAAAAAGTACAAATCGAGCAGAGTAAAAAGTTAAATGTGAGTTTTCTAGTATACTCTAGTGACTTCTCAGAAGACCCATTTAAAGGATTCCATGGACTTTGCTTACTCAGCATTTAGTTTAAACAAACTAGTCATAATTATTTCGACAGCTATTTGCTGTAGATATTTCAAAATTAATGACTCTAACACCTGTTCACAAACAAATCAGAAGTTATCTACAAAAAAAATAAATATAAAAAAATTCCCCATCAGTTAAATGAGTCAGAACAGACTGGAAAGAGCTTTTGCTTTTTATATTGGAAATGATAAACAAGTGCCATAAGTCCCCAAACTGTGGGCACTGATAAGATTCTGTTGCTGTCAATAACACGCAGAATGCACTGTGAAAAAGCTCATCGATTAAAGGCCTAAGCGAGTGGAGCGGCCAAGTTCTACCTGATAAAAACTACAAAACCTTTTGCTACGCCCGCTGCGAGTGTTAGTACTAGATCATACTGCGGACTCGACGGTTGCGTCCAGTGGAACAAAACGAATATAACATAGATATACATATATTTACATACATATATATATATATACATCTATATAAATAGTAATAGATATAAATAATCGAAGACAATCGCCTATCAGTTGGAAAAGTGAATCATGGGTATGTTATGAATAAACGATCATAAAAATAAGTTAGATGTATATAATATAGACTATATATATAGACTAATTGATGTGGGAAAAACTCCATTTAACACTATTGAAAGTGATGAAAACTTGGTATATTCGATAAATGCATTTATATATGTGTATATATAAACGATTTATTTGATTAGTGCAAGTGGATAATAAGGACATTGTGCAGGAAAATAAAATTGTGCTATATATTCAAGAAAAATGAGAGCTCGATAAATATTCGATAAATGCAAAACTTCGATAACAATTCAAAAGTGATACCTGCATATAAAATAAATTTGTTAGATGTCATATACATATATATCATATAATACGGTCTATATCTATTGGTGATATATGTAAAGTATTGTTCGATATACTATATATTGGATTGTATGTACGGGTATATTCCTATGTATGTATATGGTTAGTTCTATAGTCCATTTGTTTGCTGTGAGAAATTTGAATACAATTACAGATATAGGCACACATATATATTATATATTAACTATTCGATAAAGTAGACATATATTAATGTTGGATACATATCCGATAAGTTGAATAGTTGCAAATGCCTTAAATATATTATAATATTCTTACATATATATAAATGATACACTTAGCTATCTATTCTTTCGATAACTGCATGTTTCGATACACATTCGATCAAGTATATATATCAAGTATATATGGTTAGATATTTATTTCATATACATACGCTATAATCGATATATATCTATATCTATAATTTATATGATGCAAGGAAGTATACTATGTGAACCTAATCGATAAATATATATACTTAGATATATGTTCATTAAGTAAAGATCGATATAGGGTCAAGTTAAGCTTTAGAGCTAGAGACCTGTGTAAGTGGTTTATGGACAAGTTCTTGATTTGTCTCTTTCCCTCTCTCTCTCTCTTCCCTCTCTCTCTCTCCCTATCGGCGGCACTTGTTTTAGGTGCCGTACAGCCAGGAGCAGTTGTGACAATTGGTAGGCGAGTGCAAGAAGTGTTCAATCCGAAAACGCAAACAAAATACCAAAAAAAAAAAAAAAAAACCTATTCCAAATTCCCAAATTTGATAAAGCTTTCCGTTTGACTACCTTTTGCACTGCGTTATCAATGCTATATCTTATCTACGCTTATCATTGGATACGGCTAATACAGACCTCCCTCCATCCGTTGCAGAACACACTTGGGTGCACTCGACTCCATATGCCGCACTGCCTCCGTACGCTGTCGTTGGTGGCCACGACGCCGATGGCACGCCCATCTATGTGGGCCGCTCGTTCCACGAGGGCGAGAACCTGCCCGCCAAGGTCATACCGAGCAAAGGTTGCGCCTATGTCGCCTACGGCGGCACCGAACACAAGAAGACCCACTACGAGGTGCTCGTCGGCCAGGGCTTCGCCTGGGTGGGCAGCGCCAGCGGCGGTGTGCCACCGAATGCGGTGAGAAGCGGCACCACTCGCAGCGGCGAGCCACTCTATGTGGGCCGTGGCCACTATGCGAACTCGTTGTGCGTGGGCAAGGTGCATCCGTCGCACGGCTGCCTCTACATACCGTTTGGTGGCCAGGAGGTGCGCATCAACACCTACGAGGTGCTCATCCACCAGCCGCAGGATGTCTGGGTGCCGGCCTCGGCTAGCTATACACCACCGGGCGCTGTCATTGCCGGCCACGACTCGGACCGTACGCCCATCTATGCGGGTCGCGCCATGCACGAGGGTGAGATGCTGCCCGCCAAGGTAGTGCCCAGCAAGGGCACCGCCTACGTCTGCTTCGGCGGCTACGAGTTCCAGAAGCCCACCTACGAGGTGCTCACCGGCTACGGTTACTCATGGATCAGGAGTCCCCACAGCATACCGCCAAATGCCGTTAGCACCGGACGCGCCCGCAACGGCGAACCCATCTACTATGGCCGCGGACACTACCAGGGCAGCCTGACACCGGGTCTGATCTCCTCGCGACAGCGCTGCCTCTACATACCCTATGGTGGACGTGAAATACGAATCGATTCGTATGAGGTGCTATGCAGGCAATAGGCGATATATATATTCGATATATATGGCTATATATATTTGAATTTGCTTAATCATTTTTATAGACTTTAAGTCGTACTTTTGCTTATTCCAGATTTTGTATAATTTAATAAAGAGTGCGACTGCTTAAATAACACTTTACATATCTGAATTTTACTTTACTTTATATACATATATATTCTCTGTATATAAGCTCTCTATTGACCTTTGCTATACTGATTATATGTACCTATATATCATTTCACTTATCTGTTGAGCATTTGAATATGTAAAAACCCAAATTGGAGCTATTTGAAAATGTTTCCAAGTTTGCTATGCAGACCAAAAGCTTTCCAGGCAATCGATCAATTTTGCTCTACATGAGTCGTAGAAGTTCGATTAGGGCTCGTCATATATCAAATTCTCATATATGTATCTTTCTGCATAGTTTATATAAATAAAATTTTAGAGTTGTTTGTCTTCTATCTTTTTTTAGAATATATGCTACATAATACTATAAATCTACTTTCATTTGCGTAGGTCTAATATTAGAAAGCAAGAGTCAGCAAACTAAATAGTGTATATTATTCAGATAAGCAGATATATATAATTATTTTGCATATTTTATATGTTTATGAATAAGTAATTCAACTGTTTTATTCAAAAGAAAATTTAGTGTTTATATTTTAGTTAGATTAAGAACGAATCTTACCGTATATTCAAGAATTCGAGTATATGGAGATATCAGATATGTAAATGTGAGAGCTTTCTGATAGTAATGACGAAAATTGCAACGAAAGTGTTAAGAGTGAAGAGATTAGAGAAGATAAAACTAATAATTATAGTGATAATAATTGTTGATAAAGCTGAAAATGCTGACGATGATAATGAGGGAGAAGATGATGATGCTGCTATTGTTTATAAAGATAATGACAATGATGATGTTGATGATGAACTATGATCATAGTGTTGATGAAGTTACGTTAGTTATATTGTTGGCAAAGGATGAATATCTTTAAAGATCAAAAAGAAGAACAGAATACTAAAGAATATATAGAAAATACAATTTCCTGCTACAAAGAAGTCAAGGAACTTACCACCTATATAGATTTTAGTCCATGGTAGTTCTATATGATTATCATTATAAACTTGTATATACAAATATTGATGATTATTTCTATTCTTTATTCATTTCATTTCACTCTCCTTTCAGTCTACAAATGGGTTCAATCGTCGGCGTATTCGTCGATACCGCCAAATGCCATTGTGGGTGGCAACGATGAGGACGGCGCCATGATCTATGTGGGTCGGGCGGAGCACGAGGGCGACATGCTCGTCTGCAAGGTGATGCCATCGAAGCAAATCGGCTATATTTCGCAACGGGGCGAGGCTCTGCCCAAGGACATATTCGAAATACTGTGCGGCGAGAATCTGGTGTGGGTCAAGTGCTACGACCACGTGATACCCGAGACGGCGGTGCTCTGCGGTCGCACCAGCCTCGAGCAGCCCGTGTACATTGGCCGTGGGCATTACGAGGGTCACCTGATCATCGGCAAAATATCCTCAGTGCATCGCGCGCTCTTCATAGCCTATCGCGGGGCGGAGCGACGTTTGGATTCGTATGAGATATTGATAGAGGAGCGAGGCGCCACACCTGGTTGGCAGCTGCCTCCACCACCGGATGCATTGGAGTTGGCCGAGAAGTGTCCACCGACACCGCCGCCGCCACCGCCACCAGCGGTGCTGGCTAAGCCGCCAGTGGCACGCAAGCCGTATCCCTATCCGCCGGACTTTGATACGTCTGCCCTCTCTCTGCAGGACAGACCGCCACAGTATACGCCCATGCCGATGCCCTCGCACAGCACAGTTCCGTATCCAGCAGCAGCAGCACCACAACCACCGCCACCGCTAGCAGTTCCAGCCATGGCACCACCAACGCCCAGCATCTTGCCGGAGTATAAGCGCCCGCTGGCTGTGCCAGTGCCCATCCCGGCCAAGCCCTACGGCATGCCACCTTCGTATACTCCCGCTGCCGTCGCACCACCCAGCACCCACCATGCGGCCACCATTGTGCCCGCGGAGACATATAAGCCGCCCATGAGCGTGGATCCCTATGGGCCCAGCTGCTCCAGCTACACGCCCGCCGTGTGTGCACCAGCCGCAACGACCAGCTACGATCTGTGGATGGCCGCCAGTCCTGGGTATACTCCGCCAGATGCCGTCTATGGTGGCCACGATACCGACATGGCACCGCTGCTCGTCTGTCGCGCCTACTACGATGGCTCCCATATACCGGGCAAAGCGGCGCCGAGCCGGGGCTGCGCCTACATCACACATGCCGGCCGGGAGCTGGTCGAGTCGCGCTACGAGGTGCTCATCGGGCAGGCGAAATACCATTGGGTGCCCGGCTACGATGGCAGCATTGCGGCCGGCGCTGTGGAGGCGGGTCGCGCCTTCAATGGCGAGCCTCTCTACATTGGCCGCGCCCACTACTGCGGCAGCCTGACGCCGGGCAAGATACAGCAATCGCATCGCTGTCTGCACATTCCGTTCGGCGGGCAGGAGGTGCGCATCACCAGCTACGAGATACTCGTACGCAGCGACATCTATCATCGTCAGCAGGCCATCAATCTGAGCTATTGAGTTGGGGCAGGAGAAGGAGAATGAAAAAGTCAACCCAAAATGTATATATATATATATATATTCAAGAGCAGCTACCTCGAAGAGAGGCATAGAGGAATGAAATATAAGAGCATTAACATGAGAGAACAATCAAAAGAATAATAAATATCTATCCATATCAATCTACCTATACTGTAATTGTAACTGTAAATCAACATTACCTAATTTCAATTACTAAAGACTAAAGAAGAGATGAGTAAAGAGCAGAGCTCCCTTATTCTATTACCTAAAATCAGAAGACAATCTAATTGTTTTTTAAATTGCTCTATACTATAAAGGGATCTATAAGAAATATATTTTCTTTATGAAATAGCGCCAACATGTCTAACACACCTCTTTACGAAAAACTATCTAAATTATATTGTACATTAGGTATTTCTATAAATTGCTCTAATATAACTCTAAAATCTATTACAAAATGTTTTTTATTACTATAAAAACGAAACAGAAATATTTAAAATTGTAAATCCATCCAGCCAGGTAGCTAACTCCAAAGAACGATTGTACCTTACTATAAAGTTTCAATTGTATATATCTATATATACCATCATATAAACATGTTACCATTGTACATACATATTTATATTCATATACAATATATAATGAAATAAACATATTTATTTTGAATGGGAAACATCTGAAACGTCTTCAACGTTCCATGTTTTTCTAAAGTTTTTATTGTTCGTCTCTTTTTTTATAAGTATACCATCTGCACGGTCGTAAAAGACGTACTTCCTATATTTAGCTCATAAAACTGTAATAATAAGCAACTTTAGCCTCGGCCTAGCTGACAGTTGGAGTTTACCGACCTCTTCTCGTGTTTTTATATAGTGCGAAATTCGTACTTCCCTTCTCATTTATTTTAACCCACTGCCAGACTTAAGGTATATTTTTAAGAAACAAAAATCCCACAGTTGGTATCTCAGCTGATTAATCCAATTCCCGCACGTGCTTCTTATAAATATTACCCAAAATGATGCCAATTAAAATCTGACTAATATCGGATAAGAATAATCCGTATGCCTTGCCCAGCTCTATTTAACATTCGGCTTCGGAATCACGTCTAGATTGAAGGTAATTACTATATTTACCTGTAAAGAGATGTTTCTATTAACCTGTGTATATCAAAATCCTTGTATCTAATCTATTTGCGTGTATATGTATGTATGTATCTATGTATCTATATATATTATATCTATGTATCTATGTATCTATGTATCTATGTATCTATGTATCTGTGTATCTGTGTATCTATGTATCTATGTATCTATGTATCTATGTATCTATGTATCTATGTATCTATGTATCTATGTATCTATGTATCTATGTATCTATGTATCTATGTATCTATGTATCTATGTATCTAAGTATCTATTGTAGTGTATTGTTATATTAAGGTGCCTGCCTTATAAACTACATATATACATTCGTTTGTTTACCTCGACCTACCTATATATATGCACATACATGGTTGTTTACCTACGCACAACAGCTTTGATTCTGACATGACCAAGTCAATTTAGAAACGTCACACAGATCGCTTGCTCAGCGCGAGGTATTTCCCAGGTAAATCCCAAATCGCTATTCTCGCCCGAGTATAAATATCATGGCCTTAACTAGACTCGAGCTCAGTTCCCTAGCCTTTGGGCAAGCATTCGGTGGCAAAAGAATATTTCATCATTCAGTATTATTCTAGAAGAGCTGTTAAGTATTTCATCAATCTATAAAAAATTACGGTAACTAACCTAACTGCGAACGCTAGCAGACATCACACAGATATTCGCTTGTTTCGCTGAAATATTTTTTTGATAACCTTGATGTTTGTTATTGTTTTTGCTCGAGTTTTATAATGTTTATAAATTATATTATTCGTCTCATAAAGGTATTGTGCACGTTACAGATAACTGCTCCACAAAGTTGAGTTATGAGTGAATTACATAACAGTGTGAAATAGGAACATACGCAATAGACTTTTATATAAAGAATTTTTATTCATTTTTTTGTGCTCTAAAATTCATTCATATTAAATATTTGCATTAAAAATAAATTCGGCACAATGATTTATCTAATAGTTAATGCTTGTACAAAAACTTCCTCAAATTGAGCTCTCTTTCGTTACATATTCTTGTTGCATAGTGTAATTGTACACCTTTTTATAAAGTATCTGATACTCGCAAAAAATCCTATTTGTGAACGAATGAACTAGTTTTAACGAACCAGTGTTTTGTTTAGTATTTTCTTTTACTTGTTTCTGTTTTGAATTCTACTAAAACTTTTATATATTTATATAGATAAAGTGTAATAATAGTTGTGTTTAGGTTTTTTTTTGTCTTCTTTTCGTTAGTTCTTGTCTTCTTGAGACCACATGTGAAACTGCAATGCCGAACCGGCTCCACAACTTTTTACAATAAAAGTGAAGCTAAGCTAAAGCAATTTTTTGATTGCATATAGAGTTGAGTAAATGACTTACGATCTATTTAACTAGTAAACTCATAAAAAATAGGATATTTTATTTATATATTTTATAGGGCTTGCATATTCCTACTAGTTCCATTAAGTTTAGTTTATTTTAATGGTTCCCCATATATAAGAAATTCTTCTATACATTTACTATAGTTCATTGGAACATTATATTAAATAGGTATTTCATATATATTAGTTACACTCGGGTAAAGCTTTGTCTCTTTAATTGATTCCTGGTAGATGAACTACAGCTCGCAATGCATCGCATATAAAAGACCACTTAAGATCTGCTCCGTATAATTATTTATATGCTGACGAATCTTACAAGGAACACAGAAAAGGGAATTTATCTTAGCTGAGGTAATTCCCACCGCCGACTCGTCGGCTGACTTTCTTTGCATGCTGCGTGATCTGTATACGTAATGCATGCCGAAACCCGGGAAATATATTTGGTACAAAAAATGAAAAAAAAAACTGGATTTGAGCTCCAAGAATTTTGCGCACAGTCACCATCTAGAGGTAGTTAGTCTGGTGCCGCAATAGTTCGCATGTCAACAACGAGAGTGGGCGTGGCCGCACGAGAGGCGTAACTGAACGATAAGCCGAAAGCAACTAACCTGTGCTGTTTGCTATCATTCGGATTTGTTTATACCGAGCAGATGGTAATACGCTTGTTTTTTATCAGTTTTCTTATTGTTTTATTTTCGCCAACTCATTGTTTTTTTTTTTTTTTGTCTTTCGTATTTCATTTTTTACTCTCGTCTAATTTAATTGGGGACTCTTTTTTTTTCGATTATAAACCGTTTTACGATCGTCGCGTCAGGTTCTTGTATCAAGTGTTTGCCTTTGCCTTTATGCTTAACGATCCGAGCCGAGCTGTCGTGTGTGTGTGTGTGTGTGCATTCATATACTACTTTATGACGACACTCTGGTAACCGAGGTCTCGTCGCAAGCGGCTTCTTACTGGTTTCAACAGTTCCAATTTCGATCGCGTGCTGTCGAGATGCAAAAGTATTTGCTGCCGGCTGCCTCCAAAAAAGACTCAGCAATCGCATCGTGAGCTCGCGAGCCCAGCTTGTAAAGCCCATTAAATATAAAAATATAACAAGAATTTAAAATCGAAAAAAGGAAGACAAGAATTTAATGCTTATCATTAGCATACAGAAATCGTGAATATTTACTATACTATATATAGGTAATTGTCCAGTAAAAAAGTGTTTATTCAGATTGTGCAACACAATAAGAATTTTTGAAATATTTACGTACATATATGTATGTAATATTTAAATTACATTTTTGCAACTGCTTAAAAATTGTGTGAAGTCCATTTCGAAAACAGAATTAAAATAAGAGAAATATACATATATGGCAATTGTTCAGTTTTTGAGTATTTCTCAAAAGAGGAAATGAATGCATATTGGAATATATGAATTCGTGAATATATATGTCGAATAAATCAGATATATGAATATACATTATATTCATAAATCATATACTCATGAATTTATTCATATATACTTATTCAAGATAAGGACGAAATTTAATTCTAATAGCACAAAGAAGAAGATTTGAAATAATTCTATATAAATATATAATTCTTAGGATTTTTGTATTGAGCCTGAGAAATTTATATATGTTTATAAGTCTTGTACATATATATAAAATTTATAATAGTCGATTGTTCTCTGAAACTTTTACATTATTTCGCACCCAAAACTAAAAGAAATAATAATAAATTCATTCACATTAATAATTGTTCCAAACTGAATATAATCTAATTGACTCTTATCATTAGCATATTGAGTATACACAAAATATGAAAAAGATTATATACATACTATATACTATATACTATATGTATAGCTCATATATTGGTAATTGCTGGGATCTAAGTGCTAGTAAAGATTACGCTTCAATTGGTTTGTTTTGTCGCGCTTGTTTGCGAAGCGAGCAGAGTTTATTGGCTCGGTGAGATTTCTGTCTGACGAAATTGCTTCTGCATTTTCTATCAAAATTTTTGTATATGTACTCCTATATACATATACTCATAACTGTTATAGCCATATCTTATAAAGTATTACCATTTTACTGAGGGCATGGCATAGACACATGTAGAATCGTATATAACTATATTCTGCTGAGTATAAAATCTATTTTTTTTTAGCTCCAATTAAAATAAGGACTTGAGATTAGATATGGATATATATTCGTGTATCACATAGTCATATCTATTTATAGCTCGTATTTATAGCTCAATGAGGGACTGGGGAATGGCCATAAAGCAAATATATTTGCCATTTTTCCGGGTAGAAACAAATTTTGTTGCTTGCCTTAACTGAAACTTGAAAAATTTGACAATTGTTTAGTATGAAATTGTTTAGCTCTAACCTTGACCTACTCAATAGATCAACTAAACTTTCTATAAATAAATATACCTAGGGGGCGCTGAGCTTATCTGGCACAAGTAGAAACCACAAATCATATATGGTTATTGAATATCGCCCTAACTGACCCTAG